TTTTCTGTTATAGCCATGCTAGCGTTATACGTAGATCTATCTGCAATTAGCGTAGTATGTGCTTGCATGATTAAATATCAGTATGCGGTTTGTTTCTGTTAATGCCATGCTAGTAATTTACTCGTGGATTAAGTGAATTAAAAAATTGCCTATTGAGTCAACAAGAGGTACAAATTCCCCTTGCTCCATCCTTCCTTGCCGTCGACGCCTCAGATCCCGACCCACGCGTCTAGGTCATTGTCATAGTTTGCCCAGCCGTCCAACGGCAGGCGCCACATGCCATGGTGTGCCGACTCGCCGCCCTCGACATCAAGGGAGAAGGTTAAGGGGTGGCACTTGCCACAGGATGACGAGCCGGAGCAGCGTGAAGCAAAGCACCAGAGAGCGTCTGGCAAGGGCTTCCAACATCCAGCCTTACCATCTCCGTGTCGTGGACGAAAGTGATTTCACGTTTGCCATCACTTGGATGAGTATCACCCATGGCGACGAACGTGGATACTGCCGTCAAGGTCATTGATGTTGGAGTTGTGTCGAATATTATATATAAGATATGTTACAGTTGGACTATGAGTTGTATTATGTTTAGATAGAATATGGAGTCATGTTCTAGTATGACACATGTATCTTAGGCCTCTCATATATAGCGGGGCTAGATACACGATGTAACCTATGCTAACATAATAGAGCACAGGCACGCAAGGGGAGCCTGCGGCGTGTGCTGGCGCCCGGGTGGCCGGTGTGCGGTATTGTGACGTTGCCACGTGGAGGAGCGTCCGTAATCAAGCCCCGAGGATGTAGCCATATCGGCGAACCTCGTTAACAAATCTCGGTGTCGTCATTGTCTGCGATTGCTTGTTTCTCGGTGGATCGTTCGCGTACCTCAAATTTATTCTAACAAGTGATATCATGAGAAAAGTTCGATTTGAGGTTGCAGCTATTGATCTAGAGGTGGAGCAGAATTCGTTGAATTGATCGGTGGTCGAGTAGTGCGACCGGGCAAAATCGATGGGATGACAGGGGTTCTGCTCGTGTCAAGAAGCAATCGGAAGCGGCAAGAGCCCTGTTCGTATTTGGTTCAGCATGTGTCGGCGAGACCGAGTCGCTTGGCGACTTGCGGCAGGCGGAAGCAAGAGCGGCAGCCCTAGCAGATGGCACGTGCGGCGACTGACGAGCGTGTTGGTTGTGGTTTCGAGACCAGGAACGTGCGTGGCAGGCTATAAGGCCCAGCTGGGGCAGTCAGGCCCGAGGCCAGGTGTCAGCGTGCAGTGTTTTGTGGCTTGTTGCAGGAGCAGCCACGGTGTGGACCGTACGGGAGGCCGATGGTTTATGGCGAGGACGAGCTGATCTGGGAAGCTTCATGGCGTGAGATTTGTTAAAGGAAAAAAGGCCAGGTACGTGGAGAAGCTAAGCATGGAAAGACAAGAACAAGGAAATGTGTAGAGAAAGGGATTCAGCGTGGTCAAGTTTTCTGCACGGATGTTTTGTTTCTTTGGGTCAAGTTTGCTGAGGGCTTCGTGTGCGTACAACCTGGCCTGACACATAAGGCTCGGACGAGCCTCGAGTGTGTCGTGCAGGATCATGCAAACACAGGGCGTCAAGTAGTGTATGGAGTTGTGCGGACGGATAAGACGCGGGGTGGAGCATGGTTGCAGTCGGATAATTTCGGCTGGGTCGGACTGGATAGTCTGACGGATCGAGGTGAGTCGGTTGGTACAGAAGACAGTGGTAGGATCATCGACGGCGATATCGGAGCGTGATGCTAATGATGACCGACTTTTGGGCGTGAAAACACGTGGCGCAGGCCCGAGGCTTGTGTGACTTCGACAAGACTATGGCGTGGGGTTGATTCAAGATGGTGTACACACGGAGTTTGAAGTTAACGGGACGCGAGGGGTGGACTGATCATCTACCATGGAGTCATGTTGAAGGTGGAGCTGGATTGAGGGGCTACGGTGTAAGGATACAGGAAATCGAAGCCTATTCGGCAAGAGGGAAAAGCGAGTGACATGCAGTTCGGACTAGAGCCCAGTGGTCTGATGCAAGCGTGAAACTCGTCATAGGTTGGTGATGACCGGTGGTACTCTGTAGTGGGGAGTGAATTGCAAAAAATATCGACACTTCAGGCAAGGTTTGCAGGAACCACACATTTACGCAATTGTGCCAAAAGTACTATTTTTTTATATTTTTTACAAAAAACACTAGTTGACTGCTTTAGCTCATTTAATGACGATTATGACAGATGGAGCCCACTTTTGTTGACGTGGCGTAACGGTTCAAGACAGACGTTGTTATACGTTCTTTTTTGCCAAAAACTCCTTAAAAAACAAAACAGCCAGCCACCTCTCCCAACACTGCTGTCCCCTTCCTCCCGGCCTCGCAAGCTGCGCCGCCGTTGACTGATGTCCGAGCCGGTGAAGCACGAGCACGCCGGCGTGCGGGTCGAGGCCATCGGGTCAGCTCGGAGCGGTGGAGGCCGATGTGCGCACGGGCGGCAGCGGCGTCGGCTGCGACGGGCGCGAGCAGCAGCCGCGTCGGTCGCGCATGGGCGTGAGCTGTGGCGGCCCCGACCATGCGGGCATGCTGTTGGTCAGCTCGGAGCTTCGAGTGGTGGAGGCCGAGATGCGCACAGGCAGCACTGGCGCGGGCCGCGACGGGCACAAGTAGCGGCCGCGCTGGCGCGCACGGGTAGCGCCGCGCCGGCCGTGTGTGGGCGAGAGCACCAGCTCGGGCCACAAGCAGCAGGCGGGATGGGAACGAGCAGCAGCAGCCGCCCCGGCCGCGTGTGGGCGCGTGCCGTGACCCCATGAGCGAGCAGCGGCATGGACGGGAATGAGCAACAGCCGCCGCCGCACCGGCCGCGCATGGGCGCGTGCTGCGACGCCGTGCGCGAGCAGCAGCAGGGACGGGAACAAGCAAGAGAAGCCGCGCTGGCCGCATGTGGGCGTGAGCAGAGGCGCCGACGCCTATGCTCCAGGTGAGCTTCTCGGGTGGCTCGAGCTCGAGCTCCATCGGCCCAGGCGACATGAGTCAACGGTGAGACAAATCTAGGAGCCGATTACTTTTTTGTTTTTTGATTAAGAGGGTATTTGTAAAATTACAGGGTCAATTTTGTAAATCTAGAAAAACCCTCACCTAACAGTGTCTATCCTGAACCGTTACGCCACGTCGTCATTTGCGGGACCCGCATGTCATAATCATGTTTAAAACAGTCTAAGCCATCAACTAGTGTTTTTTGCAAAAAAATGTGAAAAAAATTAGTGCTTATTGGCACACTTCCATAAATGTGTGGTTCCTGCAAACCTTGTCTGAAGTGTCGATATTTTTTACAATTCACTCCTGCAGTGGGGGTCGAGTAGTGTGGTTTAGCGACCCTTGAGACTCGACCGGAACAGCAGAGGCTCGACGCGGTAATAGCGGCGAGGCGTGCGGTGCGCACGGGCATGGAGACGAGGCAGAGCTTTGGTGGTCATACACTGATTAATCGGATGAATTCTTGAACAGGGCCGTGCCCCGAGTTCATCTCGTCTAGAAGCACATACAGATGCCTCCGTTGTCTAGGCCATGATCTTGCACCACCATCATGCTCAGTGCGCAAGGCATATGCACGTGGATGTTGCCGGCGGCGCTGCATCCAGCAGGGCGTCTGACATGGGAGAGAAGGAGCAGAGATATATATTAGTAGTAATATTTTAGCACGAGGAATTTAATTAGGAAAGAAATAATAAAAAGTTAATTAGGAAAGAGAAACATTGGCGAATCATTTTTTTAGGGCTTAGCGAATCCATTTTGCTGGCAGATTTCTTGGCCAACAAAACCAGAATAATAATTAGAAAAGAAAAAAAATGTTTCCGTTGCTGCTTGCAGCATAAGAAACGGAAACTTGCGATTAAGTTCTTTCGTAATACAGCTCAATAAACCTGATGCGTATACGGCATACCTGATGAACGACCCATCTCCCAAACAAGAGCGACCATTGTTGCTGGAAGCTGCTAACAATTGATGAGCCGATGTCTCAGAAGGTGCATGTGGATGAGCCGAGCGAGCAGGCGACCGTTGGCATCCTCCGGGGTCTAAAGAAGCATTTCGAGGAGCATCATGGCATCAAAATTCAGGATGCTGCAATTGTTGCTGCGGCGCAGCTCGCTGGCCGCTATGTCACCGGCCGACAATTTCCTGATAAGGCCATTGATCTGATTGACGAGGCTTGCACAAGCACAAAAGGAGGACAAGCATTTGTTAGCCCTGATCATGTCGCACAGGTAGCATTGCTTTTCACATTACTAATATGCCTAATTGTTTCAATGTAATATGATATGCCTAATTGTGTCATTGCGCTTGAATCTTTTACTTTTGAAGGTTGTCAGTCGGTGGACTGGAATTCCTGTCACGTCACTTGATGCAGAAGAGACCGAAAAGCTAATCCATCTTGCAGATAGATTGCACGAACGAGTTGTTGGTCAGAATGAAGCTGTCAATTTAGTTGTGCAAGCGGTGTTACGTTCGAGGGCTGGTCTTGATCCACCTGGACAACCAATAGGTTCTTTCCTTTTCTTGGGTTCGACCGGTGTTGGAAAGACAGAGCTTGCAAAAGCTCTCGCCGAACAGTTGTTTGACAATGAAAAGATGTTGCTTCGATTTGATATGTCTGAATACGTCAATTCTAGATCTGTGATGCGCCTCATTGGAGCACCCCCAAGGTTTAAGTTTACATTACGTGCACTTTCCACATTGCATTATCAACTTATGGTTTGTCATTCAATCTTAAGTTTTACTAATACAACCCACTTCTTTTATATATAACACCTTAAAGTTATCATGGTTACCATGATGGTGGACAATTGACTGAGAAAGTCCGGAGCCGTCCATACTGTGTCATCCTCTTTGATGAAGTGGAGAAGGCCGATCCCTCGGTATTAAATGTATTTCTTCAGCTACTTGATGATGGTGTCTTGACTGATGGCAAAGGTCGTAAGGTAGATTTCAAGAACACAGTCATCATTATGACCTCAAATCTAGGTGCAGAGCACCTAATTGCAGGAATTCGGGGTGAAAACACAATGAAAGATGCACGAGACCTTCTAATGAAAAAGGTTTGATCTTGACACAAATAGTACATATTCTCTGAAATATGTTTATGGCTTGAATTAATTGTTCATTTGTAGGTACATCAATATTTCAAGCCAGAGCTTCTGAACAGGTTAAGCCAGATTGTTGTGTTTGACCCGTTTTCGCATGATCAACTAATGGAGGTTGTGAAAATCCAAATGAAGAGAGCCACCACCAGGGTAGCAAAAAAGGGCATATCTTTATCTGTGAGTGACGGCGCATTGGACGTCATTTTGTCAGAGTCATACAACCCAGTAAGTATATGTTGTTCTTAACTATGGTGTGATCAAACTCCATTTTCTCACAATTGTGCATATTCACTCTCTAACGGAATCATACTTCTCCCTGTTACATATGGTGTGAGCAAACTGAGTTTTTTTTTCCTAATTGTGTCTCTAACAGAATCGAATGTGCTGTCTATTTGGTAGATGTATGGTGCAAGGCCCATAAGAAGCTGGGTAGAATAATGTGATGACAGTGATCTCGGAGATGCTTGTCAAAAAGGAAGCTAGCAAGGGCTCGACAATCTTCATCGATGTTGCAGACAAGAAGGGCCTGAAGTATGATGTGGTGAAGGACGAGGTAGCCGATGCACGTGAGGTGTTAGGCAACTCCCACGGTGATGATTTGACCGTCGATAGTCCCACGGTGATAACGTCCACAACTCCATCGCTTCACAGAAGATTGTACTCTCGTTTCGGTTTTGCTCTGAAATAGTAGGTTCTTCTCTGAAATAGTAGTTCCTTGTTGTTCTTTGTGACTTACTTAGTTGGAGAAGTTGATTGCCATTACCTTAACTGTCGACAGGACGAGAGAGCGAATGTTGCTGATTCTGTCAGATGGTTTATTGTTCCCTGCAACTCTCGTGCTTCCTGACTTTGCCAACCGAAAAACATTTTACTTGTTCTGTTTTCTGGGTCACACAGCTAATTTCATTCATCGGAAGGTGGTATAGATTGAGGTTACCTTGGAGGAAAACAAAGGCACTAGATAGATCGTGATTGAACTTAGCTAATCACCAATGGTGTGTGGTAACCTTTTTGTGTAACTTAGTTAGTTACAATATTGTTGGGCGATGCCAGTAGCTCGGTGCATCCGCTCCTTAAACAGAACAGTGTGCTTGACGCCATGGCCAACAGTTCCAGCTTTGATCGATCTGTCCTGCACCTGAAAGATAACGCAAATGGGCAGGTCCATGGGAAGGACCGTGTCCTGCCCATGGATTTCAATTTCAGTTTCAGAAAAATTTCAGCACCAACCGAAATCACTGAAATTCAGTGAATTTCAGTGATTTCAGTTTCCATTTCAGCCAAATGACCGAAATATTCACTTGAATTCAATTAAAAATTGAAAAATTTAAAAACTATTTTGAAAAATATCGGAATTGTTGCGCTATACTGAAATTGCTGAAATATTTTGGACGAAACATAATATTTCAGTGTCTACTGAAATTACTGAAATTCAGTGAATTTCATCGAAATCTCACTACTCCTGCCTGCGTGGGGTTTCCGTTTCCCCCCAAAAAAGAAAACAACTCTATGTCAACAGTCGTAACCTTTCACGACGCTGCCATCTCTCTCGTACCTGACAGCCCCATGCAATCCCAATCCCATGTCCATGCACCAGACATCACTTGACATTGGCTAGCATGTGTTTGACCGCTGAGGTCCGGCCGGAGTGCATGCCTTGATGCTTTCTTAAAGGCTATAAGCATATGTGCGGTTCTTCGCCTGGGATTTGAGTTATTAAACGAAAAAAGATGGAGTTATCCTTTTTTTTCCTTTTCAAAGGAAGATGGAGCTGGAGTTGTCACCGGTGAGATGCTAACATGCATGTCTGTTATATGGTGATAACGTATTACCTTCATAGTAATATCTGAATTCAGATCATCTTTCAATTGTACATGTATTTAGAGCATGGCTAATACTCCCTTCAATCCAAAATAAATGTCGCAGTCTTAAACATTTTTGGATCGGAGGGAGTAGTATATTCAGCCGATAGATATATACAGTTCTCATGTCATCTACAGCCACCATATACAATCATTCGTATAGTAAGATAGGCAGGGGGGCAGGGCCCCTGCTAGACCCCCCTGTCTCCGCCATTCGTTATTGCTACCTCTAAAGCAGGAGACGAATATGGTGCAGCTGTCAGGATGCACCGCGTGCGACTGGACTGGCTGGACGTAGCACAAGTCTTCGTGGCTGGGGAACAAGGGGCCATTCTTCCAGGTCCACTCCATGATCTGTCCTCTCATATCTAACATGGTCTCGTCTTCTTCTTCGGTGAAGTCCGCCCTGGCCGAACTCCACACCCTGCTGCTCGCAGAGACAGTGCGGCGGACTCCAGCCGTTGTCAAACATGTAGAGCTTGTTCCTCACAGCAACGGAGTGGTAGTTTATTTTGTAGTATCGGGATAGGGACGACTTGAAACTGGCCGGCGGAGGCTCCTCAATGTCCACCCTCCCCATCTTGGTGTCGTAGACCAAGGTGATTGTTACGTCACCATACCCATGATGTGTTCTCCCTGTGACCACGATCTTGCTGCCGACGGCTCCGAAGGTAGCCGACATGGCGGCGACATCGTTTGCTGGGACGCCCGCCCTGCGGTGTCCATGCCGGTGACTGTTAGACAATGTAGAGATAGTTATCTGTTTAAACTCCTTTCTTCCTCAATACTCTTTCTCTCTCGATCTCATGTACCTGGACGAATCCTTGCGATAGTATGATGCTTGTACGCCACGGCATGCTTTGCCCTCTATCAACTAAACCACACGCGGCCCTACGGGGTAGACACGCTTCCCACAATACCTTGCATGGTATCAGAGCCCTTCTTCTCGTACATCTAGCCTACCTCGAATAGATCGATCTGGTTGATCACGAGAGAAAGAAGAGAGCCGCCGAGAGGAATCCATGGCAGGCACCGCCGCCAGCACCGCTGCTTCCACCACCGCTTCCACCGCTGCCTCCATAATCGCCTCCATCATGAGCACCCTATCCACCCAATCCGTAGGCCTTACTTTTGGATCGTCTTCCACCTCCAGCAGCCCTACCTCTCTTGGCGCACCTCCATTAGAGAAGCTCACGAGGACAAACTTCCTCCTCTAGAAGGCCATCGTGCTACCCCAGATTAAGGGAGCACAGATGGAACACTTCCTGGACGGCGCAAGCCCGACGCCTCTGCCACTCTCACCGTCACCAAGGACGGGAAAGAAGAGCATATCTTCAACTACGCCCACACGATCTGGTACGCACAACAACAACAGTTACAAGGTTATCTGATGGCATCTCTCTCCCGTGAGGTTCTTGCCCAGGTGGTGACTCTCCAGACACCGGCTGAAGTGTGGACGGCGATCCAAACCACCTTCCTTGCTCAAACCCAGACGCAAGAAGTCAATAACAGAATTGCGCTTGCCAATCTTCAGAAGGGGAACTCCACCATGGCGGAGTACCTTGCCAAGATCAAGGCGTTGGCGGATGAAATCGCCACCATCAGCACACCTCTGTCCGATCAGGAGATGACCTCCTATATTCTGAAGGGGCTGGATCTCGAGTACAACTCGGTGGTGTCAGCCCTTGCCGCCCGCGTTGAGCTCGTCACCACCCTAGAACTCTACAGCCAACTCCTCAGCTTTGAGGCACGGCTCAACCTGCTGCAAGGTATGAACCATCACCAATCTTCTGTCAACAGCATCTCCCGTGATCGCGGCAATGGCGGCCGAGGCCGTGGTCACCAAGGGCGTGGTCGCGACAGCGGATATGGCGGGCGTGGCAACAGCCAGAGTCAACCTCGTCCTGGAGGTGGTGATCTGGTGGTGGCTACAACAACAATAACACCCATGGCTCCTCCTCTAACACTCGCTGAACCAGGTGCCAACTCTGCAAGAAGCCGGGCCACGAAGTCATTGAGTGTTGGCACCTATTTGATGAAGACTACGTGCCTGATGCATGACATGCAGCTGCTGCCATCCGGGAGCAAGGAGGAGGTGACGGTGACACAATCTGGTATGGGACTCCAGTGCCACGGATCATGTCACAAACGAGCTAGAAAAGCTTGCTCTTCGTGAGAGATAGCATGGCAACGACTAGATTCAGACCACAAGCGGTGGATGTATGGAAATTCGTCACATTGGTCAAGCTTCTATTAATTCCCCTAGCCTAAGACATGATGTACTTCTAAAATATGTCCTTCATGTCCCTCAAGCCGACAAAAATCTAGCATCTATGTCTCATTTAACTTCTGACAATAATGTTTTCTTTGAGACTCATCCCACTGTAGGATCGAAAGTATGTCTAGAGGGGGGGTGATTAGACTACTTGACCAAATAAAAACTTAACCTTTTTCCAATTTTAGTTCTTGGCAGATTTTAGCTATTGTAGGACAAGTCAAGCAATCATCACACAATTCAAGCAAGCATGCAAAGAGTATATTGGCAGCGGAAACTAAAGCATGCAACTTGCAAGAATGTAAAGGGAAGGGTTTGGAGAATTCAAACGCAATTGGAGACAGGGATGTTTTTCCCGTGGTTCGGATAGGTGGTGCTATCCTACATCCACGTTGATGGAGACTTCAACCCACGAAGGGTAACGGTTGCGCGAGTCCACGGAGGGCTCCACCCACGAAGGGTCCACGAAGTAGCAACCTTGTCTATCCCACCATGGCCATCGCCCACGAAGGACTTGCCTCACTAGCGGTAGATCTTCACGAAGTAGGCGAACTCCTTGCCACAAACTCCTTGGTTCAACTCCACAATCTTGTCGGAGGCTCCCAAGTGACACCTAGCCAATCTAGGAGACACCACTCTCCAAGAAGTAACAAATGGTGTGTTGATGATGAACTCCTTGCTCTTGTGCTTCAAATGATAGTCTCCCCAACACTCAACTCTCTCTCATAGGATTTGGATTTTGTGGAAAGAAGATTTGAGTGGAAAGCAACTTGGGGAAGGCTAGAGATCAAGATTCATATGGTAGGAATGGAATATCTTGGTCTCAACACATGAGTAGGTGGTTCTCTCTCAGAACATATGAGTTGGAATTGTGTATGTGTTCTGATGGCTCTCTCCACGAATGAAGAGGAGGTGGAGGGGTATATATAGCCTCCACACAAAATCCAACCGTTACACACAATTTTCCAATCTCGGTGGGACCGAATCAACAAACTCGGTCGGACCGAAAAGGTAAACCTAGTGACCGTTAGAGATTTTTGGTGGGACTGACATGCAACTCGGTAGGAACGATATGGTTAGGGTTTGGGCATAACGTAATCTCGGTGAGACCGATTACACAAACTCGGTGAGACCGAGTTTGGTAATAAGCTAACCAGAGAGTTGGTCAGGTAAACTCGGTGGGACCGATTTGCTCTTTTAGTGAGACCGAAAAGTTACAAAAAGGAAACAGAGAGTTTACACTGCAATCTCGGTGGGACAGATTTGCTCTTTTGGTGAGACCGTAAAGTTACGAAAGGGAA